CATTGTTGCCCATCTAGTGCACTTGTTGTTAATTTCATTAACACCAAAACAGCTGAAACTGATTAACAACCCCCTCTGCTACTTACAGTGGGGATCGAAAGTTTGGGCACCCCAGCTAAAAATTTGTATTATGTGCATAAAGAAGCCAAGGAAAGATGGAAAAATCTCCAAAAGGCATCAAATTACAGATTAGATATTCTTATAATACGTCAACAAAAGTTAGATTTTATTTCCATCATTTACACTTTCAAAATAACAGAAAACAAAAAAATGGCGTCTGCAAAAGTTTGGGCACCCTGCAGAGTTAATATATTGTACTGTCCCCTTTGGCAAGTATCACAGCTTGTAAACGCTTTTTGTAGCCAGCCAAGAGTCTTTCAATTCTTGTTTGAGGTATCTTTGCCCATTCTTCCTTACAAAAGTCTTCCAGTTCTTTGAGATTTCTGGGCTGTCTGTCACGCACTGCTCTTTTAAGGTCTATCCATAGATTTTCAATTATGTTGAGGTCAGGAGATTGTGAAGGCCATGGCAAAACCTTCAGTTTACGCCTCTTGATGTAATCCCCCGTGGATTTCGAGGTGTGGTTAGGATCATTATCCATTTGTAGAAGCCATCCTCTCTTTATCTTCAGCTTTCGTTTTTCACAGATGGCATCAAGTTACCATCCAAAATTTGCTGAAGTTTTATTGAATCCATTTTTCCTTCTACGCGTGAGATGTTCCCTGTGCCACTGGCTGCAACACAACCCCAAAGCATGATTGATCCAACCCCATGCTTAACAGTTGGACAGAGGTTCTTTTCAGTAAATTCTGTGCCCTTCTTCTCCAAACGTACCTTTGCTCATTCCGGCCAAAAAGTTCAATTTTAACCTCATCGGTCCACAGAACTTGTTTCCAAAATGCATCAGGCTTGTCTATATGTTCATTTGCAAAGTTCAAACGATGATTTTTGTGGTGAGGATGTAGAAGAGGTTTTCTTCTGATGACTCTTCCATGAAGACCATATTTGTACAAGTATCTCTTTATAGTGGAATAGTGTACCACAACTCCAGTGTCTGCCAGATCTTTCTGGAGGGATCGTGCAGTCAAACGTGGGTTTTGAATTGTTTTTCTCACAATCCTGCGAGCTGTTCTGTCTGATATTTTTCTTGGTCTTCCAGATCTTGCTTTAACTTCCACTGTTCCTGATGACTGCCATTTCTTAATTACATTCCAAACAGAGGATATTGACATCTGAAAACGCTTTGCTATGTTCTTATAACCTTCTCCAGCTTTGTGAGCGTCAACTATTTTCAGTTTCAGTTTTCTAGACAACTGCTTAGAAGAACCCATGGTGCTGATTGTTGGGGCAAGGTCAGATAAGTCTGGGCATTTAAAAACCTTTGAGATTGACATCACCTGGTCTTCCCAGATGATGATTGAGAACAATCCATGACACTGGCAGGTCTCAGCTTTGCAAAGGGGGCAGTGCATGCTATAAATTCTGCAGGGTGCCCAAACGTTTGCAGACGCCATTTTTTTGTTTTCTGTTATTTTGAAAGTGTAAATGATGGAAATAAAATCTAACTTTTGTTGACATATTATAAGAATGTCTAATCTGTAATTTGATGCCTTTTGGAGATTTTTCCATCTTTCCTTGGCTTCTTTATGCACATTAATACAAATTTTTGGCTGGGGTGTGTCCACACTTTTGATCCCCTCTGTAACTAACCAGATCAATATCCCAGGAGTTTAATTGATTTGATGCTGTACTCTGATTCGCACACATGAGCAGCTACCTCAGAAGCTATTTGACAGCAGAAGGTATTGTGACAGCTATCATTCAGGACATGCCTTTAATGTAACAGTTTTGAATAAGTGTCCATTCACATATATGCGGATTGGATGCAGTTTGAACCACATCCAATCCGCATGAAAGGTAAAAAAGACCCTGCTTCCTTTGGTGCCTGTTCACATATGTCCACTGCACTGGCGGTGCGGATTCAGTGTGATTTGAAAAAGAGTCCTGTACGATTTCTGAGCAGTGCGGTCCTGTCAGGTGTGGAATACAGGCTATTGACTCCTATGGGAACCTAAACCACATATGTGTGAACAGGATAATTCTGAGAGCTAATCCTGTCCTGAACCTGATGTAAACCTGACATGAACTGCTGAACTACTGTATCAATTAGCTGTGAAACCTGAGCTTCTATCTATACCAGCTCTAATCAGCTCTAACAGTTAAATCAATGGAATAGAAAAGAATAGACTACAAAAGAATAGAATAGAATAGCAAAGAATAGAAAACATTTTTAAAATTTTAGAATAGAATAAGAAATAATTTAACTGTCTTCTGAAATTCAAATAGAATAAATTTGCATAGAATAGATTAGAATAGAATAGAATAGAATACAAAAGAATAGACTAGCACAGAATAGAACAAAACAAAAGAATAGAACGCAAAAGAATAGAATAAAATAGAATAGAAAGACTATAACCATATTCTGAAAGTCAAATCGAATAACTTTGAATAGAATAGATTAGATTAGAACATAATATAATAGAAAAGAATAGAATAGAAAATAAAAGAAAAGAAAAACAATAGAATATAATTCAATAGAATAAAAAAAAATTGAAAGAATATAACCATCTTCCGAAATTCAAATTTAAAATAAAATATATTTGAATGCGAAAAGATTAGAACAGAATGGAAAAGAATAGAATAGGAAAAAACTATAGAATCGAATAATATAAAATACTAAACAAATAACTTTCTTCCGAAATTCGAATTTCGAAGAGAATAAATTTGATTCGAATAGAAAAGAATACAATAGAATAGAAAAAAACCAAGAGAATAGAATTCAATAGAATAGCAAGAATATAACTGTCTTCCAAAATTTAAATAGAATAAATTAGAATTTGAATAGATTAGAATAGAACAGAGAAGAATAGAATAGAAATAAAAACAATAAAATAGAGTAGAATAAAATAGAATATAACCATCTACCAAAATTCGAATAGAATACATTTGAATTTGAATTCCAAAAACAATTACACTAATTTAACAAAACAAAATTATTTCAATAATGAATCAAAACAAAGCACATTTTTTTCGTTCTGCACATGTCTTGAACTGAGGGCCTTAAAATGCCAGGACAGTGGAAATGCCCCCCAAATGACTCCTTTTGTGAAAGCAGATAGTCCAAGGTATTTTGTAGGAGGCATGGTAAGTTTTTAAAAAAATAAAGAAATTAAGTAAACAAATTTCCAACATTTTTTTTTTTTTACATACTGTCACCAGTGCAGTACAGCTTCATCATATGACCAGTGTGGCCGTGCTCATGGATACTGACTGGTGACAGCAAGTAAAAAAAAAAATTAATTTTTTATTCAATTTGTTAACATTTTTTTCCTTTAACATTTTTTTTTCCATACTCTCATCAAAGTAGTTCAGTGTCCCCATAGTGACACTGTACTACCCTGGGGGAGCAGGGTGATTGGGGCTTTTTTTATATTTATATATTTTTTTTTTATTATAGCTTATAACAGACCACTGTTATTAGCAGTAGTTTTACATGTCATTAATGGATTTCATCCATGACATTTTGCTTAGTGTTGTGATTGGTCACAACTGATCACATAGTACGGAGAGTGCTTTGATTGGTCCAGGTACCATGTGATCACTTGTGACCAAACACAGATCACATTAGCAAGCAAATTGTCACGAATGAAAGCTATTCATGCCACTTTGCTTACAAGTAGTCATGTGATCTCTATGTTTGGACATAGTGATCACGAGCAGCTCGGTACTGAGCACTGTGATTGGACACAGCCAGGGGCGGACTGACAACTCATGGGGCCCCCGGGCAATAGGGGATCATGGGGCCCCTGTGTCCTTGCTCAAACTCAAAAAAGCCTATGAAAAAGGTACCAAGGGCATCTCATGTGGCCCCCTACTTACCCCGGGCCCTCGGGCAGTGCCCGCGTTTCCAAATGGTCAGTCCACCCCTGGACACAGCAGTCATAGAATCGCGCCGCAGTGCGCAAGTGCTCAAGGATGTACAAGTACGTTGCTGAGCCTGCAAGTAGTAAATCTACTGCTAGGGGGTGGCAAGTGGTTAACAGGCAGTAATGCTAGGCGTATTCCCATATTCTAACAGTCAGAATTCTGGCCAATATAATATATCGATGCCAGACATAGGTATGCGCATGCAAAAATTTGGCTTTTTACCACATTTTTTCTGCTGCTAAACTCATGTAGGAGATAAAAGTGTCAATAGAATACAGTGTGCATGAAGCCATAGCTGACAACCACTGTTCTAAACCTTCCCTAGTTTATCCACTTGATGCCAAATAACATACATGTACGTGATTAGCTTCAAGTGGTTATACCGGGGTTGTGACTTCAGCTGTATGCCATAACCCTGGTATTTTTTTTTTTTTCAACTAGCAAATGATTTTTCATCTAAAAGCAATCCTAGCGGCCCCTCCTAGGAGCCTCGTCCGTCTCTGTGGTCTAGGAGACAGGAAGCGATGTTATTACATCAATTTCAGTTAGGGCAGATGTAAACTCTGCTTTTTCTTTTAACCACTTGCACTCCAGGGGATTTACCCCCCCCCCCCCCCAACCAGGCCATTTTTTATATACAGCGCTGCGGTAGTTTAACTGACAATTGCGCGGTCATGCAACACTGCACCCAAATTAAATTTATGTCCTTTTTTCCCATTAACAGAGCTTTCTTTTGCTGGTATTTGATCACCTGTGTTTTTTATTTTCTGCGCTATAAGAAAAAAAAGACTGACAATTTTGAAAGAAAAGCAATATTTTTTACTTTTTGCTATTACACATGTCCAGTAAAAAAATATTGTCATAAATTTAGGCCAATATGTATTCTGCGACATGTCTTTGCTAAAACAAAAATCCCAATACGTGTAAACTAATTGGTTTACGTGAAAGATATAGCGTTCACAAATGGCGGTATATATACTGGAATTTTTTTTTTTTACCAGGAATGGCGGCAATCAGCAACTTATAGCGGGACTGCGATGAGAATTCTGACACTGGGGGGAACTGACTTGGTGTCACTGACATCCCGTCACACCAATACAGTGATCAGTGCTAATTAAAAGCACTGACAGTGCACTAATGGCACTGGGCAGGAAGGGGTTAACATGTGGGCCAATCAAAGGGTTAACTGTGTGCTGCGTGTGCTTCACTGTGAATGGCGGCGCGGGTAGGGCGCACGTACACCCCGTACCCAGAACTGCAAAATCATACGTGTGTGTATGTGTATTTTCGCGCACCCGTGCCGCTCTGTGACATTATTTCTGCTATAGGGTGGCACAGAAGCTGTTAAAGCATTAGATCAATGTTTTTTTATTATCTCATGCTTTCCAGGATAGAGGAGAGATGTGGGGTCTTATAGACCCCAGATGTCTCTATAAAGAGGACCTGTCATCCCTTATTTCTATCTCAAGGGATGTTTACACTCCTGGTGATGGGAATAAGAGTGATAAAAAAAAAATTTAAAAGGACAGTGTTAAAATAATAAATAATTGAAAAAAAAAAAATGAAGTGCCCGTCCCTCTGTGCTTGTGTGCAGAAGTGAAAGCATACGTAGGTCATTCACACAAATGTAAACGAGGTATCGCCATGAACGTTATAGCAAGAGCTGTAATTCTAGCACTAGACTTCCTTTGTAACTCTAAACTGGTAACCTGTAAAAATGTTTAAAGTGCCACCTATGGAGATTTTTAAGTATCGTAGTTTGTCACCATTCCACAAGGTATCTATTTACTTGCCGTAACATCTAAATTTATATTTTACCAAAAATTGGGCTATGTACTTTGTTTTTTTGTATTAAAATTCATTAAAAGAGAAGGTTTTTTTTCCCCAAGTATACTTACTGTACCTAGGTGGATGTAGAATTGGTCCAATGCTGCAGCTGTCCCCCGCTGGCTCTAAGTGTGAGAACTCAGCGATCACATGACCACTGAATTCTCACAGCCACTCTGAGCGGAGAGCAGTGACTGTTAGTCACCACTGTCTGGTCTTCCCCTCCATCACTCACTGGAGTGCTGGACTGTAGAGGTAGAGGGAGCAGCTGGCTCAGGCTGTCAGCGGCTCACTGAGAGGCTGAGCCAGGTGCCGCTCCAGACTCTGGGGTGGATCCCAACTTTAACCATTTGACGCCCGGCCTATGGCCGAATGGCGTCCGGAAAAATGTACTAGCTTTCCGGGAGGCCGCCATATGGCGTCCTCCCGCACATGGGCAGTTCGCGCGCGCTTGCAGAGCCGTGCAGCAGCGTGATCTGTCACCGGCCGTGTACCTCGGACACGGCCGATGACAGATCTGAGTACCGGCCCCCATTGCGGGTACCATGTGACCTGCTGTAATCAATCACAGCAGGTCACATGACAGTTGTATACAATGGATAGCTTCATTCATGCCATTCATTGTATACTAGTGTCTAGCTGTGAATGGTCACAGCTAATCACATGCACATGTCATGTGATTAGCTGTGGCCAAATCACAGCTAAGCACAACAAAAAAATCCCCTGAATGAATCGATGTCATTCAGGTAAATGCTTGCTTATAGCAAAGTAATTCTTTGCTATAAGCAAATTGTGTAAAAAAGAAATACTGATCACTTACCCAAAGTAGTACAATGTTACTATGGTAACATTGTACTACTTTGGACATAGTGAAATATGAAAAAAAAAAATATTAAAAAAAGAAAAAAAATTTAATAAAAAATTTAAAATAATAAAAAATATATATATATATATATTTTTTTTTTTTTCACACTGTCACCAGTCAATGTCCCTGATCACCTCCATGCCAGTTATATGATGACGCTGTACTGCACTGGTGACAGTATGTAAAAAAAAAATTGTGAAAATAATTTTTTTTATTTTTTCATTTTCCAAAAAATTATGACAAAAAAAATACAACTTCAAAAAACTCGACTTGCCTCTTATGAAGTACGTCGGACTGTCTACTTTGCAAAAAGGGGTCATTTGGGGATATCTGTGCTATTCTGACATTCTTGGACCTCAAGGAATTAGATTGGCTGTCAGTACTTCAGGATTGATCAATATTCAGATCTATACCATAGTTTGTGAACTCTATAACTTTCCTACAAACTAAAAAATACATCCTAATTTGGGTTATTTTCACCAAAGACATGTAGTAGAATACATCTCGGCCTAAATTTATGCACAATATTTATTTGCAAACTTTTATAACAGAAACAAAGAAAAACGTGTTTTTTTTTTCACAATTTTCAGTCTTTTTTTGTTAATTTAGCAAAAAATAAAAACCCCAACGATGATTAAATACCACCAAAAGAAAGCTCTAGTTGTGTGAAGAAAATGATAACATTTTAGTTTGGGTACAATGTTGTATGACTGCGCAATTGTCATTCAAAGTGTGAGAGCGCTGAGACCTGAAAAATGGCCTGGGCAGAAAGGTGTAAAATTGCCCTGTATTGAATTGGTTCTCCAGCCTGGACCAGCAGAGTGACATCAGCCCGCTGTTGGCTGAAATCGGGTCACAGGAGTGCAGATCAAACTGCATGCCTGTGATCCACAGGAGAAGTAGAGCCAAAAAAGCTTCTCCTTTAACCACTTTCCCTCCGCTCTATAGCAGTTTTACTGCTACAGGGTGGCATTCCTGTGCAGAATCACATAAATACACAAAATCTTCAGCTGTGAACTGTCACAACACAAAACGATCTGCAAGGCCTGGGAAGCAGTTGCTCTCGGCACCTGTAGATCATTGGTCAAGAAGGAGGAACAGAGCTATGGCCATAGCACTGTTGTGTTGACAGGATATGTTTTATAGCAGAAAATAAAAATATATTTTTTTCAAAATTGTCAGTCATTTTTTGTTTATAGTGCAAAAAATAAAAACCGCAGAGGTGATCAAATACCACCAAAAGAAAGCTCTATTTGTGGGGAAAAAAAATTCATTTGGGTACAGCATTTGCATGACCACGCAATTGTCAGTTAAAGTATCGCAAAAAAGGGCCTGGTCAGGAAGGGGGTAAGGGTCCTTTGACATGGGGGGGGGCTCTCCGCTGATCCCTGCTGAGCAAGAGGGTAACAGGTCTGTGGCTGCTCCTCTGCTGCAGTGCAGACACAGAGCAGCTCGCTCTTCTCAATAGGCGGTCAGATGAAAACGGACCATCTGACCATTTCCATTGGATGGAAGGGGAATTGAATCCCCATCGGTCCCTTTTTTACAAGTTGATTTGGATTGGATGTCGGCGGGTATAAACAGACACGTCCGTTTGCACCTGCTGCTCCATAGAGGTGATTGGAGGTTTCGATCAGGTCCACCTGAAAAACAGGTGGACTGACCCGATCGAAACGTCCATGTGAAAGAGGCCTTAACCACTTGCCTACCAGGCACTTTTACCCCCTTCCTGCCCAGAGCAATTTTCAGCTTTCAGCACTGTTGCACTTTGAATGACAATTGTGCGATCATGCAGCACTGTACCCATATGACATTTTTATCATTTTTTTCACACAAATAGAGCTTTATTTTGGTGGTATTTAATCGCCCCTGGGGTTTTTATTTTTTGCACTATACGCACAAAAAGAGCAAAAAAATTTGAAAAAAAAGTTTGTAAAATTTTGCAAACAGGTAATTTTTTCTCCTTCACTGATGTGCTTTGATGAGGCTGCACTGATAGGCAGCACTGATGGGCACTAGCAGGCAACACTGATATGCAGCAATGATGGGCACTGATAAGCAGCACTGATGGGCGCTAGTAGGCAGCACTGAAGAGATAGCACGGATAGGCAGCACTGATAGGCTGCACTGATATGCAGCAATGATGGGCACCAGTAGCAGCACTGATGAGATGGCACAGATAGGCTGCACTGATATGCAGCAATGATGGGCACTGATAGGCTGCACTGATATGCAGCAATGATGGGCACTGATAGGCAGCACTGATGGGCACTAGTAGGCAGCACTGATGAGAAAGCATGGATAGACAGCACTGATAGGCTGCACTGATATGCAGCAATGATGGGCACTGATAGGCAGCACTGATGGGCACTAGTAGGCAGCACTGATGAGATGGAACGGATAGGCAGCACTGATAGGCTTCACTGATATGTAGCAATGATGGGCACGAGTAGGCAACACTGATAAAATGGCACAGATAGGCTGCACTGCTATGCAGCACTGATGGGCACTAGTAGGCAGCACTGATAAGATGGCATGGATAGGCTGCACTGATATACAGCAATGATGGGCAGTGATAGGCAGCACTGATGGGCACTAGTAGGCAGCACTGACGAGATGAAACGGATAGGCTGTACTGATATGTAGCAATGATGGGCACTGATAGGCAGCACTGATGGGCACTAGTAGGCAGCACTGATGAGATGGCACAGATAGGCTGCACTGATATGCAGAATTGATGGGCACTGATAGGCAGCACTGATGGGCACTAGTAGGCAGCACCAATGAGATGGCATGGATAGGCTGCACTGATATGCAGCAATGATGGGCAGTGATAGGCAGCACTTGTGGGCACTAGTAGGCAGCACTGATAGGCTGCAATGATGGGCAGTGATAGGCAGCACTGATGGGCACTAGTAGGCAGCAGTGATGAAATGGCACTGATATGCAGCAATGATGGGCAGTGATAGGCAGCACTGATGGGCACTAGTAGGCAGCACCGATGAGATGGCACAGATAGGCAGCACTGATAGGCTGTACTGATATGCAGCAATGATGGACACTGATGGGCACTAGTAGGCAGCACTGATGAGATGGCACGGATAGGCAGCACTGATATGCAGCAATAATGAGCACTATTAGGCAGCACTTATGGGATGGCACAGATAGGCTGCACTGATAGGCAGCACTGATGGGCGCTAGTAGGCAGCACTGATGAGATGGCATGGATAGGCTGCAATCACATGCAGCAATGATGGGCAGCACTGATGAGATGGCACGGATAGGCAGCACTGATAGGCTGTACTGATATGCAGCAATGATGGACACTGATGGGCACTAGTAGGCAGCACTGATATGCAGCAATGATGGGCACTATTAGGCAGCACTGATGGGATGGCACAGATAGGCTGCACTGATAGGCAGCACTGATGGGCACTAGTAGGCAGCACTGATGAGATGGCACGGATAGGCTGCACTGATATGCAGCAATGATGGGCAGTGATAGGCTGCACTAATATGCAGCAATGATGGGC